ATAAAATAAAATACACAAAAATATATCAACATAAAATATATGTCTAAAGGTTGGGATCAACGGCACACCTTCGATATCGGTTGGACAAAACACTAGCTTGATGATGTTGACGGAATGATTTCATGACGACATCTCCCACGTCGATCTCCACCTTGACTATACCGCAAACCATTTTTACACACCTATCAACCTTTTTTTTGTTTTTTTTAAATTTTACCCTCAAGCGGCTATAAGTTTCTCTTCCTAAGGGTCCCTATTTATAAGAAGGAAAGTTCTAGAGAATGAATGGGAAGTGAAGGGTTGCACAATAAACTAAAGAATTTAGTAAATTTTATTAAATAATATATTATTACTAATGTAGTAATTGTTGAAGTAAATTTTGTAACCCCATTGTTAAAGATGGTGAAGAGACGTGATTTTGAGTAGGAAATCTAAGGGTTTCCTGCTCCGTTTGTTTAGCATTATGTGTCTGATTTTCACAGTTTCATTTATTAAATATTCCTAGAAAAATATAAAATTTATACCGTTAAGTTCCATATTTTTCACACATCATTTTAACATAATTTATTTGTCAAGAAAATAGGTTCACTTGAACAAACTATATTATTCAGATAGTAGAGAACACAAACTAATTTTATTCCCTTTCACTTTATTCTATTTTTTCATCTCCACTAGTAATTAATCACTTAAAAATTAAATTCCAAATTGATTGTTTTTTTAGATAAATAAAAGTAACATTTTTTTTAAAATGCTACTCATTTCTTTGTACTAGAAGGTTAAAATTTCTAGACCAGTTTTCAGGGCGTTACATTTCTCTCCCCCTTAAGTGAAATTTCGTCCTCGAAATTTGTATAAGATGCACAAATAGTTTTTTTACTTTTTATTAATATCACATGTAAAATTCTGGCATTTATTTACTCGTTCAAATAGAGTATTAAAAATGTTTAGTCAACTTGAGTTAAGAGGGCTCGTAAATTTTGGCATTCATATACTCGTTTCCAATACTCACACATCTCAACGTAAATTATCTTCTCTTAACTCTTGATCACCATGTACCATTTCATCCAGGAGTGATTCTATGGCAGACCTAAGGTCGACATGGACCTTTTCCCCCAATTTTCTTTTTAATTTTTTTAAAATCTTTATTTCAATACTTGAAATGCTTATTCAGGAAATATGATGCCCCACCTTGCACCTAAAGTACATATAAATATATAATGATTTTGCCTTGATTAAATTCTTGAAATATTGCTTTTTCCATAACTCATTACATTTTTTTGTCATTATATAGTGTCCATGTTTATGCTCCAACGTAACAAGGTAATTAGTTTTATTTCTTGTCTTTTTTTAAACTTATTATTACTATTATTATTTCTTCTGCTAAAAATTTGGTCAATTCTCAAGTTGATCTCACCTAATGTCTTTAAATGATATACGATATATTTTAAGAAATAGAATGGTGATGATTTTTAAATTAAGCCTATAAGATTTTCTATTACATAAATAAATTAAAAGTTAAATTAGTTTTGACCCCATTATTTTTCAGATCCTTTGTTTTAACTAATGTATGTGTATCTATCTACTCTATGTTAATTTCCAATTTGATTTACCAAATAAAGCCGGATAAATACTCTTACTTTCTAATGGAAATTTATCCTCAAAAGCATAATTAGCCAAATACTTTTTTTTAAGTGTCATTCCCCATGAATAACAAGTGACGCTTGCTTTAACAAGCTCACAATTTATTGCATTAAAATATGTTTTTTTTAGGAATATAATCAGGCCAAACTATGAATTTAATTCAGAGGTGTACAGATCACGATTTAAGTTTGCTCATTTTATCCTCAACAATAACTACTAGCCTACTAAGAAAAATGTTTTTGTTTATTACTTATTATCATTATTCATCATTAATAGGAAATCTCATCTCAATATTAAATTTAGGGATTTTTTTTAACCCATGCCAAAATATTCAATATCACAATCAAATTAGCAATGAAGTAGATTGACAACTTCAATTTTTTTATAGATATAGTTAGGAACGTAACAATAATACCTAATCATCTCAAGACTCTCTGCAAAGTAGATAAAATAACTTCAACAGTTTTGGTTCAAGTTAGATCTTGACTGTAAATCAAACCAAATTGAGTGCATTGATTTCCTTTTCCTTTTTTTCTATAAAAGAAAAATCATGAAAACTTACATCTTGACAATTTCAGGCTACACAAATAATCTTCAATGAATTTGTACAACCTCAAAGTGTTAGGGTCCAAAGTCCTTGTAATGTGATTAAAGTTTTAAAATAAAGTTTCTTACGCACAATACGCTTATAAAAAGTAATGAATTCTCGCTTCTTTGTAGATATGTATTTTTTTTAATCCACCATTTCAGTAGCATTACATAAGTTTGTCAATTTTTCTTGAACCCCAAATGGACGTATTCATTTGTATCCAATGCCACTCACTCTCTGTTTTTCCTATTACTTTTTAATATCTATCTCTTCTTCTCTCATTCCTCTTCATCTTCCATGAATCCTCCTTATCTCTAATCTTCCTCTTCTCTCTTCGTATGTCTTCTCCATGGACTCCAGATCCGTCCATGCCTACTTTTCACCTTTTGTCACAAGAATCGCCTTTAAGATCTATATCGCCTCATATCTTTGAATACAGAAGTACCTGCGTGGTTCCCTTTGAATCACCTTTGTACACATCTGAAACAGACCCTATCTGGAGATTTAGAAAGAAGTACAACTGTTTGGTTGTAGAAGATATAGAAGAGGGATTTTCGAGCGAAGAAAGGGAAGGGGAAGATGTAACCTCTGTGTATGACCCAACAAAAATGACATGCGTTGATTACTATTTCATGGATAACCCTCCAAAAAGACCTTCTTGGCTGGAACCATGTGGTATGACTTCTCCTTTTATTTATTTCATGTGCATACCGTCTATTGATAAGTTTTTTGTCACTGATGAAGATATGGGGGTTATGCTTCAGAATTCTGTACTGGGATAAAAGAATGCCATGTTAATTTGACCTTTACCACTGTGGCGTATCTAGGAACGTATTGATTGATCTTTGATAGCCCTTGCTTGTTTTCACCTCTGTTTGGGAGGATGTGTAAGAACTATGATGCTCCCTGATGTGCTGGTCCCTGTCTCAATATGTATGTTGTGTGTGTTTGCTGAGTTCTTTGGTAGTAGTTGTTCCTAGTTCTTGTCCCATTACGTATTTAAGTGTTTGGGGTTTATGATGCAAAATGCTCTACTTTTCCTGAGATCCTCATTTCCCAGTTATGATGTGTTATGCTATGCAAAATGTTATTCACTCTGCCCTGAGGTATACCACACCCACTTTTGTTTGTGTTTTGGCCCTGAGGTATAAGGTGTCCACGCTTTACATTTGCCTGAGATAAATGATGACACTAATTCTCTCTTTCCCCCTCATTTTGATTACAATGTTCCCTGAGGTCTATCACATCCAATGTTGTTTGTGTTTGGCCCTGAGGTATAAGGTGTCCCAGCCTTGCTCTTACTTGTGATGAATGGTTTAAGTATTACTCCTTCAGGCCCTAATTTGATTACAATATGCTCCGAGGTATAAGATGACACAATTTCTGATATCTATGATGGACTATTATGATGGACTATTGCCTGAGATCCATGATTTACATTTGCCTGAGATCAATGATGACACAATTTCTGATATCTATGATGGACTATTACAATAGTTTTGTGCTTGGTTGTTCTGTGTGTGATGGCTAGTGTTAAGATTGCATAACATACATTCAAAACATACATTTTACATTACTTCCCTTTAGTAAAGTCATATAGTACATGTGCAAACACTATGTATGGGGATAGAGTTTTAATGTATCCTAGCCCCTGTTTGTGATGTACATACTTAAATCCCACACCCAATTATGCATTTTCTTACCTCCATTGACAGTCTTGGCTTGTTTTCCGTCAGCGTTTTGTTTTCTTCATCTTCTGCAGGTGATGTGTTATGTCCGGTCTGCACACTGGTTAGAGCAGCAAGGTGTTCAAGGCTTGCAACTGAAAGCCGTTCAGCCCTGGGGTCTGGATTGTTTGAAGCTTGACGACCATTAAAGAGGACTGAAGTTATAGGTAGTTCAGGACGTGTAGGCATCTTCAAACGCTGCATGTTTTGATGCTGACAATGGAGGAAGTTCATTCAAATGAAAGGGAAATAAAGGAAAATCCATTGAAGGAAAAGATTCTTTAGAGAATTAAAGTTGAAGAGGAATGAAGAACCAGAGCAGTACATGTACTTATTTATAGTAAGAAATTCAAGAGTAGTTATTTAGGAAGGAGCTGAATTTTTTTGGACAGTTTTAGATTTTCTTTTCCCTCTACTTTTTTGTCCATTATTTTAAACTTAAATCAACTTTATGTACACAATGAGTTGTACTATTTCTTACCCACGTGCAATGCCATGGAACAAGAGGGTATTTTGAGAAACCTTTTATTGATTTGACTTATTATTAATATACTAAAAAAAGGAATATTGTAATCAAATAGGGAATGGGGGGAGTATTGAAGATAATTTACAAAATGACAAAAATTTCATTCAACCTCACATTGAACATGTTAAAATACTAGTGTAATTGCATCTTAACTCCTATGGAAGAAAATGGTATGCTCTCAAGGTACACCATAAAAGCACACTTTCGAACCTAAAATTCACTATGGACCTACATATGAACAAATTTAAAATTTTTTTATTACTTAAATAAACATTTATTTTTTTAATTATAAAACAAAAAAATGTTTTATGGTCTCCGCTACTTCTAATCCTTCTATAGGGAATATCTCTAGGATTATGCTATGTGTACTCCAAGATTTGTACCCGCAGTTTTGCACCAACATTTTGTGTTGGTGTAAAACTAATTTTTGTTAAACGCACTAACATTTGTGTCCGTGTGAATTTTTATTAACGCACTAACACTTGTGTCGGTATAAACCATCGAAATGTTTGTGCAAACCTGTGGTGTACAAATGGGGTATATTTGTTGGTGTAAGTGTAGCATGGTCCATATCTCTATCGCACATTATACTGATTTCTGAGTTCTTTTTCATTTCCTGAAACGCTAGGGCTAGGTTCTCAAATCTCAATCAGATCTCTGCGAAGATGGCGATGAGGAACTTCTACAACGAGATAAAGGGAATGAGGGTGAAGGAATTGCCGGCGCACCTGAAACCGATGCTCTCCATCAACTACGCAAGGAGTGCTTTCAAGAGGGGATTGGATAATTACCATGCCAAGTATATCGAGACCAGCTCCGCCGATCCTGTGTATCATGTGTGTTTCGGAGGCATGCTCCTTTCTTACCTCCTCGCTCTCCCGGAGGAGCGCCGTCATCTCGCGCATCAACAGCACGCCAAGGAGCACGGCGGCCACTGATCCCATTCGCGTTTCGTGTCTGTCCCCTTTCCTCAAAGGTATCATACAATTAACGCATTAGAAATACAATTATTTGGACTAATTTGTGTCGCGTTATCAATTTGTTGTGTTTTGGTTCTCCTCATTGTTTAATTGAAGTTCGATTATCGTGTTCTTTGTTATGATGATTCACGATTGGTTCTTATTCTGTAATTTTTTTTTCTCTGCGATGGTTTCATATGTTGTTTTCTATATGCTTTCTTTCCATGGTACATGAGTTTTACACCTTATACTTTATATATTTGTTTCAATTGTGTTGTGTTAATTTCATTTTGGGTCGTCAATGTACTGGACCTATGGTAGCTTACGCTCAATGGTGCAAAATACCAGTACCTTGTTCTTATTGCTGTATCAACATGATGTTTCAATAAAGAATGTTGTATTAGTTCACCAGATGTTGAGTTCATCTCTAGGCTTGATCTTACCAGGAATTGTGGAATCCTTTTTTCATTTGGAAACGGGTGTGCACACCAAAATGAAGCTTTTCCAGTTTCCCAATTGACATGCCTGATTTTGTATTTCCACCACGTCTTATTGAAGCTATATTTCTTAGTATTATACTCCTTAAGCTCTAGCTTCTTAGCCTTAAAGTGTTAGTTTGAACCTAAACATGAAACCTCATGTGACATAGTATGCTGTCGTTGCTGCCTTGATTGATGTCATTAAATGAGTTCTTTATATTTTTCGGGATCTGGATTCTTTTTTCGTCATCCTGCTTAACTGGTTCTTCCAAATGACTCGTTACTAATGACAAGAGCTATTCTGGTGTGTGCGTGCGCGCATGCGCGTGTGGAGTTTGCATAGGTGGCAGAAGTTTACTTTATGTTCATCGGGTTGTCAAGGACTCAAGATCACTGTGTAAATCGTAGGATGACATGATTGTAATAATAATGGAAACAAATTATGAAAAAAAAAGTCACTACCAGTAGGTAAGAATTGTAAAACGACTTCCAGTAGGTAAAAAGCACTACCACTTGGGCAGTAGGTAAAAATTACTGCCAGGGCCTAGAAGCCTATAACGAAAAGAAAAAAGAAACATACTCGTAAATTAACAGGGCAAAAGTGACAACCGCGTGCGAAGGCCGAAGGGAATAGGCAAGTGGTGAAGCTAGAAGAGGAGTGCCATGGCTGACTTGGATTGTAACTCTGTAAGTATTTGTGCATACTTGTGTGGGAGAAGGGGCGTATTTACACACAGGGAACAATCGTTGGGAAAAGGTCCGTTCTGGCGTAAAAATTGAACCGGCAAAACAAACCTTTTCAAATTTCTGCATGTGTATCAATCTCCCTTTTTGATCGGCGATCTCAATCGATTGGATGATTCTACGATCCAGATAGAGTCGATGAAGCGTAGCGATCGTATTACATTCTTTATGAACTATGAAGCCTAACGATCTTACGTAGAATCTCGAGTTTGACTACCTTTAGCCCCATCATCTTCGCCAGCCCCCACCATCGCCTCCAGCCTTACTACCGCCGGCAACCCCACCTTCATCGCAGGCCGACCACCGCCAGCAGCATCACCTTTTCCGCCTTGTGCACCATTGGAGCCAGCCCACCATCACTTTCTGCCAGCGCAGATCTATAAAAAGGAAAGGTGGAGAAAGGAGGGGGAAGAAGAAGAAGATAGATTTGACGTAGGAGAAAGAAGGTGGAGAAGAAGAAGGAGAAGGGGAGGAAGTGGAGGAAGAAAAAGAAGAAGAAGAACAAAAAGTAAGAAGAAAAAGAATGAGCAGACAAAAGACCGAGGAAAGAAATGCGCAGATCTGCGCTGGAGGAGAAGAAGAAGAAAGAAGAAAAGGAGAGGAATAAATAAGAAAGAAAGAAGAAAAAAGAGAAGAAGAAGAAACGGAGGAGAGAAGAGGAAGAAAGAAAAGAAATGGGAGATCTGGGTTGAGAAACTGAGGAAGGAAGGAAGGAAGGAAGAAAAAAAAGAAAGGATGGAAGAAAGTGGTGGAGGAAAAAGAAAAGAAGAAAGAAAGAAAAGAAGATAAGAGGAATAGTGGAGGGGTGTTTAGGGTATTTTGTGTGTCAGAAGGTGTAATGGGAAGATCTATGGTGGATGCATGGTGGACGAATGAAAAAGGAATTCAAGAAGATCTATGGGGGCGGAGGGAGTGTTAATTTTTGGGATATTTTATTATTTTAGGACTTTTATTCTATTTTTAATGTGTTGCTTATATTTAGTATCTAATAAGGTTAGAGTAAGATTAATCTGTTCTCATCTCTTTAGCAATTTCAGTTATCAGTTGTAATCAGATTATATATAGTCTGATCTATCTCTAGTATTTTTCATTATTGAGAAACAACAATAGTATATTTAATTGGAGATTCTCCATTGTTGGCTATTGGGAGTTATTGAGTAAGATCATTGCTGCTCAAAACATTCTTAGTAGATTATATTCTTTCTTGTCCATCCAGGTCCACTTTAGTTCTCATCATTTCTCAGTTGCATGAAAATTTCATGAAGCAGCAATTCCCATTATAAGATTGATATTGCAAAATCCATGCGCATTGTGCTTTTTTAACATGATCACTTTTTTTAATGTATATGTATAAAAATATAATTATGTGTTTTAAGTAGGATCTCATGATCCTCAATTAAAATTTTTCACTCCCTTCTCAATCGTCGGTAGAAAAGCGTTCTCGACAGCTTTAGCCCATCTATGTTGTAGCAGTATCATGTTTGTTTGTTTTAATATTTGGACAGAAGTGGTTCTGCATTGCCAACTGAGTTTTGTACCAATGCAAAGTGAGAAGTCACAAGCCTTTAAATGCATTTTGCTTTGAAATAACTTTGTAGCTCATATTGTGTTAGGGTTTTGTAGATTCAGATTATACTTAACAATAGAGAAATTTCATTACATCTGATGGTGAGAGTAGATGAAAGAAATAAAGCTAAACATATAATAACAATATTTGACTAGTGAAGTAGTGATCATTGTTCAGATTAAATATGTGGAAGAAGCGAATACCATTATTTTTCATTCCTTGAATTCACAAATTAAAATCATATAGATTGTGTCTTAGTTTGAAATTTGTGTATATTCATTTGAATATATCCCAAATATAAATATGCAGTTGTAGTAATTCCTAATGTATCATGATTCACATTCTTGGATCAATTTCTTCTCTTCTGTCAAGTTTCTTTTTCGCATTTTGGCCTGCATCATCTTCTCATACATGTACTTTATAATACATAATGTCGTAACTCATAACTCTTTTATTAAGATAATAGATTTGTTAATGAGTATTTGTGATGTGGAGAATCACCACTCGAGAAGATAAATGACAATCTAAATTTGTGTTCAATGAATATTTTTAAAAATATGCTACATTATTCTTTCGACTAATTAATGACTTTCCTTTATGTTGTTGCAGATCGTGCAAAGCTTGAGAGGTTGACTTCAGTGACAAGAATTGAATTGTGTGTTGTGTGTTTTTTTTTGCTTCAATTCATATGGACAATAACTGAAGTCATACAATGTTGGATCATAAAAATAAATTTCTGAAAATTTGAATCGTGCTGAATATTTCGGTTTCATGATTTCTGTAATGTGATTGTGCTTAAATTAAATTGTGCCTTTTAGAGTCCAATATTTTTAGTTATCTTCATCCTTTTTTTACTTGGAATTACTAGTATACTATACTCGTTAATTACAAATTAATTCTCATTAATTAATATTAATTTTAACACTAATATTAATATAAGTATTCTTATTATGATTATGATTTTTATGATTATTATTAGTACTATTGTTATTATTGTCATTATTATTATTATCATTATCATTATTGTAGTATTTATTACTCCGTATATTACTACTACTACTACTACTATTATTATTATTAGTATAATTATTATTATTACCATTATTATTATTATCATTATTATTGCTTCCGTGCCTATTTAAATCGTTTGCTTGAATTTAAAATGTTTGGATTTAAAATGTTTGATTGAAGTTAATTTAAATCCAATTTATTTGAGAATTGAAACATAGTTAAAATACAAAATTTACTTGCCCCTTTGTTCCTAAATTGTATATATTTTATTCAAAACGAAGCAAAATCTCAATTTTTTAAAATTTACTAGTATTTCTATCCGTGCCATGCACGGGGTCGAACGAAAATTTAGTGATTCAGGTATTTTTTTAATGCAATATTTTTTCTGGAATAAAGAAAATATATTTCTTACATGATTTTTAATATTATAGACAAAGAAGCCAGAGTAGAATAAATACTATTCGAGGAATTGAATGTGTACTCAACAAACTTTGTTTCAATACGAAATTTTCTGAAAGGCTATAAGGTATACAATATTTTTAGTATGATTGTAAGGGTTTCTATTGTCATTTAGAACCAATGTTTTTAATATTCTCTTTGTCTTCACTCGTGAAACAGCAACATAAATCTTACGATGAGTGAACAACGACTTGGTTAAAAATAGTCCAATAAATGACATTATTTGACCTTGAAATTTGTTGATAGTCATTACAAAATATAAGAGTGTTGAATTGCCCTCTCTGGAACTTCAGGGATAGTCGTGTATAAGATGGTACCGAATTCATCCGGGGTATATAAGCTTTATCTCCAACTCGATTTCTCAAAACCACAATAACACTAATAATAATCTTTTGCAGCTCTTCAAGGACTAATCTTGTACCATTACAATATCGAAATGTTTGGTCAATGTTTCTCAATAACATAATTGGTACTTTTTTTTAAAACTATTTTATGGTTTGGGATCCCCAAACATTTGATCTCACTTAAAAGTTCAATTGTTATCCAATCACCATGAACACCTACATCTGAATCTATCTGACATGAAGAATCAGAACTTAATTACACTATTTCATCTTCAGGAATGAGAGATAGGACAAGTTTATTTACCATTTCTACAACCTAGATCGTGGGTGCCAATAGTGCCATATCCTAAAAAAATATTTTTTCATATTCTCCAATAGGTTTGGATAAGTGAATCCACTAAATCTTGAGGGGATGGGATGACTTGTGTCTAGAATCAAGAATTTGGATGGAATTTCAACGTCATTTGTTCGACCAATTACTTGTCAGGCTTTCCATCTCCAACTTCGATTACCCAATAAAAAAGCTTGTATGTCTTTATCTGCGCAAGAGAACATAGATGAATGTAATCCTATATTCTTCGTCAATGTATAAACTTTATAATACGACTACAATTTTAAAGAATTGATGATAGCACCTAAAATTTCCTCTCTTGAAACTCTCTGTAGAAGAGGAAGAATTTGCCAAAAATCACATCTGAGTACAACTGGTTCCCTTCGAATGGTTCATTTCTAAAGTTTTTATTAAAGAACCTCATTACATCTCTCATTGTGTAATCCAATGCCTTAAAAGCAAATCTATTCATCATATATGCTTAATCCCATATGATTATGGACTAAAAACTCACCTATTTTTAAGGGACTAAAAATATATTTAACCCTTAAAAATATCATAATAAATAATAATAAAATAAAATATCTGTAATTTAAATCATAAATCATTTAAGAACTATTAGCCATAATTTTTTTTAGTAATTATATCAAATCATGAAACTAATATAATCAAATTACCAAATAATATCCAATATATTTTACGTGCTTAAACAATTTATTTTCTAATCTTCTCATTTTTATAAAGCTTCATTGTAGTTTTAACTAAGTTTTTTGTTTATTAACTTACATGAATACTTTAACAAATATGATCAAACTGACTACTTCGATTTTAATATATCATAAAAAATATGAAATTTATTTAGAAGTGAAGAAATATCTTAGTAATTACTTAGGGCCAATTTGGCGAATTTTGGAGATATTATAAGATGTGGGTTATGAAAACTCAGAGAAGTGATATGGATTTTGTAATCTGAAATTATTTTATTTGGAGAGATTTAAATTCAAAATTTAATTAGTGATAAGCAAGGGTGACTCGCAACGGAAGTGGTTGGCAGTGACAATGGTAGCGAGTGGCGAAGAATGATCAACAGTTGAGAGAGATATCGAACCCCCATATTGATATCTCCCAAATTTGGGAGATATTGAGACCATCCATTTTAAAGATTTATGATATCTGGATATATTAAATTTGATAACTCTTTTGGCTTCACCAAACACCAGAAAAGGATTAGGATATCTAGAGATATCAAAACTCATATTTTTTGCTGACCAAACACACCTTTAGAAGTTTTGTAATAATTGAATAGAAAAATTTGCATAATTAGGAAATAATTTATTATAAAAATGAATATCTCTATTCTCTTCCATAATTAATTGTACTGAATGACTTCATACCATAGTATTAACTTCTTACTTTCTATAATATATTTTACGTGTCAGAAATGTCTCGTAAACAACATCACATCTCAGCTTCTTAGGGATTAAAATATCAATTTTATAAATAAAGGATGAATTACAAACATATTTGATCCTTTCCTATAAGAATACTTTTAAACGAAAATATATCATTATCAAAATTTTGTTTTTTGTGTATGCACTTAGTTAAAAATTTGATTCATAAAAAATGCTAGTCTAGAAATGGTAAGTGATAATACTAATTTTATATTTTCACTAATTTTTTGTTACATCATAATAAGTTTTATCATAAAATTATATTTTATATAATTGTTTTCCTTTGATAATTTTATTTCGGACAATACTATATTTATCTTTCACAAATTTGATTTTATAACATAATTAATTTTATCTCAGCATAACAAATAAATAAATGAATTTCTTTTTAAAAATAAAATATATATATACTCAACTAATGTCACGAATAATGAATGATTTATTTGCCCTAAATCTTTTTACGTAAAATTTTTCCAAAATTTGAAATCATTATTAAATTTGTATTTTAAAATAAAAAGAAAGGTCAATTCATCATTAATAAAATTTGCCAAATAAGTAACCAATAAAGGCTTGCCATCTCACCTTAATATACCCCGCATAAGCTTGACACTTGGCGACTTTCTAGCAAACGGAGTCTGAAATATTATATTAAAGGATTATATTTTTTATATATAAAAAGAAATTTTATATAATCCTTTTCTAATTATGAAATATTATAAAAGGTTAAGTGAAATTATAACAAAAAGTACCCTAGCTTGGATGGTTAGGAATTCAATCAAATCCTTTATATATAATATTTGAGAGTTGAACTCTCAGAACTGCGACATTTGGCGTGCTGACTGGAACTTTTTTTGACACTTCATCAGCCACGTCATGAAAATCGACTTCCTCAATATTTCAAACGGGTTGGGCTTCTAGAATTGTGACATGTGGCGTGCTTATTAGACAACCTTTTTAACATATCAGCATGCCGTGTTAGCAAATAATGTTTAAAAAATAGTTAACAAAAAAACTTATTATGCGGAAATTAAATTTCATATTTGTTACACACAAATTTCTCCATATAATTGCGTTTAAAAACTTTTATATTTTCATTCATAATTGGAAAATATTTAAATTAAATAGTATATTTTGAAATTTTAAAAAAACACCTATTCAAAAACTATAATCAAAACAAATAAATTTACTTTA